TCAAATCCACTGCCATCAAGTAGATTCTGACTCACAGCTACCCTATAGGAGAATACAACTGTTCCTACTGAGACTGTACATCTTTATGAGAGCAGACAGCCTCATCTTTCTCCCTTTGAAGTGACTAATGGGTTTGAACTACAGACATTGTGGATAGCAGCCCAAGGCTTAACCCATGACACCACCAGGTCACCTTAATGATTAGTATATGATTGTTATTAAATGCCGTAAAGTTCTGACTCATAACAACCTTGTATAGGGGTTTCCAAGGAGTGACTGGTGAGTTTGAGCTGCTAACCTTGTGTTTAGCAGTCCAGTGCTTGTCCTCCAGTGCCACACCAGGACTCCAGTGAACAGTATGTTTGGAATACTTTGTTTGTCAGAACAAAATACCATGCTCCCATCTTTCAAGTGTTGTTGTTAAGTGCCATCGAGTCGGTACTGACTCATAGCGACCCTATGCACAGCAAACAAAACACTGCCCGATCTTGGGCCAACCTTACTATCATTGCCATGCTTGAGCCCATTGATGCTGCCACTTTGCCAATCCATCTCGCTGAGGGTCTTCCACTTTTCCTCTGACCCTCCACCCTACCAAACATTATATCCTTCTCCAGAGACGGGTCCCTCCTGACAATATGTCTGAAGTATGAGAGACAGAGTTTGGCCATCCTGGCCTCCAAGGAGCACTCTGGCTGCACTTCTTCCAACACAGATCTGTTTGTTCTTTTGGCAGCCCATGGCACTTTCAATATTCTCCTCCAACACCATAACTCAAAAGCATCAATTCTTCTATGGTTTTCCTTACTCACTGTACAGCTTTTGCATGCATATGAGGTTATTGAAAATACCATGGCTTGGGTCAGGCACACCTTAGCCTTCAAGCTTAAGGGCTGCGAACCTTAAGGTCAGCAGTTCGAAACTATCAGCTGTTCCATGGGAGAAAGATGAGACTTTCTATTGCCATAAAGATTTACAGCCTTGGAAATGCTATGAAGGGCCACTATGAGTCAGAAGCAACTCCACAGCACATCACAACCTTTCAAGTATAGACTTGCTAAAAATGTATCGATCTATAGTATTGTGGGAATTTTAAAATGTAGTTTATAAATATACTTTAATCATTTTCATACACAGAAAACCTCTGTGAATTGTTTCTATTTGATGACAACACATTGCTCCCAATTTTCAAGAAAAACATGCAGAAAAAAGGAGAAGCAATTAGGATTCCATAGATAGAAAGGACCCAGTAAAGCATAGGCTGACTCCTTATTTTCTAGAAGGAGAAATTCAAGTTCAGGGAACTACAGTAATCTGCTCAGAGTAATATCGGTAGGTAGTGGAAATTTTAGGACTAAGACCCAAGTCTCCAAATGACGAGCCCAATGGTGACTGTGGAAAAGGATGCTGACTTGCCTTAGGATGACAGGGTGACATTTCAACACAATTCCATTCCATCACTCTTGTCCTTCCTGCATGTGTTCCTCAAACATGTTCCTATGAGGGCCTACCAGTATTTTCCTTACTTTTTCACAAACTAAACCAAACCCATTTCCATGGAATCCATTCTGACTGACAGTGACTCTATGTAGGGTTTTCCAAGATTTAAATCTTTTCTGGTCCAAGTTTCATCTTGCTCTCTTAGAGTGGTTGGTGGGTTTGAACCATCCACCTTTCAGTTAGCAGTAAATACCTAACTGCTTTTGTATAGGTCTCCTAAAATTCTCTTAAAAAAGAAGAGGAAGTAAATAATTTGGTCAAAAATATTCATTGTGACAAACTTGACCTATACTTGTAGATGTCGTACCTCAAAATACCAACTGAGAGGGAAGGAGTCTTCACATCAAGTATCAATGCTATCCCCTCTGTATACAGGGTAGATACGGATAGGCAACTTGGACAGTGGTTACCTTAAATTAGGAGGTGATAATGGCACGAAGTGACTGGCTTACAATTTTCAAGAGGGAGTTTAGATTAAGACTGTGGGGGAAAATAGAGTCCCCAGTGAATGATTTTTATCTTGTCTAGACAGGTCTGGTGAAAAGAGATGGGGATAAGATTCTTATAATTCAATAGTGAGTAACTGTTACCATGACTAATTGCAACTGTCACAACTATAAAGGTAGAAGTTTTGTAACAAAAACAGGGGAGTGGTTAATCTTACAGTCCAGGAACAGAGAACCCAAGGACCATCAATGGAGAAGAACAAGTAGAATGTGGGACCTTATCCAGAGAAGAAGTGACACCAGAGATGGAGATAGAAATGATGACATAGAGAGATAGAACAGCTGAGGACTCTAGACTCATGGAAAGAGAAAGATTGAGTGCTGGTGGTCAATAGGAAGGCTTACAGAATGTTTCCTTTGGTTATGTAATTTATTATATATTCCTGAGTGTTTTTATGTATATACCTCTTCCCCCAAAAAAACAGGGAATGGAAGCAAAGAATGATGATGCACAGAGGAGATTATAATCATTGTAATGAAATGATGAGTGTAAAACCAATGTTCTCCCATGTAAACTATCACTCAATTAACAATAAAAACTTTAAAAACAAAATAATTGTTCTTATTCTAGAATGTTCAAGGAAATTAAAAACACAGCAATAGGTAGACACAGTTCAGAAAGAGAACAATTTATACTATCTGGCATCATGACAAATCTAAATTTTGTTAAATACCAATTCTGATTTGCAGAATGCAGACTTTAAGATTCCCAAAGGGAAAAGACCTGTGGTTCTTTTGTATTATTAGAAGGCATTATATTCTGTTAGATCATATCTACAAAGCAAAGTAAATGTTCAACAATTATGCTTATTCATTTATACAGGAATTGTGGGCTTCTTAAACAGGCAAAAGCTGTTATCTTGATCTCAAAATGGGAGGAATTGAATATGACTCACCTATTTTGAATGTCAGCACATCACGAATTCACTAACATGACATGAGAACAAAAATCAAAGCAGTTACCTTATTGATTCTAATCTAATCCCTTTGAGAGCCAATGTAACTCTTCCATTCTACTTTTTTCTTAATGAACAATTTACAATTGATTCTTTAAAATAGTTTATGTTCCCCACTTATGTGCATGCCTGTACAGACCCAGCTTTGGAGAAATATAGGCCAACTGCTATCAACTGAATGTCACTATTGCATCAGTGAATTTATACATCGTCCCTCATTGAATCCTTGTAGCTTTATGAGGTACATACAGATTAAGAAACACAAATTGAAAGCGGTTCAGAAACTTGCTCAATGTCACACAGCGTTTTAGTGAAAAGGTCAGAAATTGAACCAGGTATGTCTGCTGCCAAATTCCATGATCTAAACCATGGTATCCTGCTTCCATCAAACCATCACTGATGTGCCTCCGTCTACAATGTAGACAAAACACTTATATGAGTAGAATACACTCAGAAGCAGAAACACTGCCTAGGAGGGAGGGAGGGAGAGGAGGTAGAACGGATTCAGATACCCAGGTTTGGTCTTCTGTCACTGCAAATGTAAACTTAGCTTTCTAGTTTCATAATACTCTAAGTTCATTTGCTTCAATCCAAAAAACCAAACCCACTCACAGTGATCCTATAAAGGGTTTCTGAGGCTATAAATCTTTACAGCCTCATCATTCTCCCAAGGAGCAGCTGGTAGATTTGAACTTCTAACCTTGCAGTTAGCAATCCAGTGCTTATCCTATACCACAACCAAGGCTCCTTATTTTGCTTTGAACAGTCTCAAAATAAAAATATGCAGTTTTTAAGAAGGATAAGCAAAAAACAAATAAACAAAAACTCTTAATATGAATATGTTTCTGAGAAGATTCACAGGAGAATCTTAGAAGTTAGGCACTTTATGAAATGATGAAATACAACCCAACTTTCACAATAAAGATTCACACATGACTTCTAGGGAATAATACAGACTGAGACCAGCAGTAAGACCTTTCAGTCAGTCTTCTCCAAACACCATTCTAAACATATTATTTGGAATGCCCACAATAATTCCAGACCTGGCTTCTCCTTCTCCTTTCCCTACCCATACATCTCCTTCTTCCATTAACCTGGCTAATTCATATGTGTGTCTCAATGCTAGGTGAACCTTCAACTCTTCAGAAAAACCTCATTCTTCAAGCCAAGAAACAACCTGTCCACATCTCCTTTTTTAATTATTCCACTATATTATAATGACATATCTCTGTATCTTTCTCTCATCGTAGACTCCTTGTTCTTATGAGAGAAATAAGTCTTATCCAGTTATATTTATTTCTCCACTAAGTCTGAACATAGTAAATCCATAATAAATATTTGTGGAATGAATGAACTATTTCACAGACATAAAAACAGAGTTTAGGTGTGACTGTTGATCACCTAGAGGTAAATTAATCTGAAAATGGAAATGATGAATCTTGTGGAGTTTGAGAGTCTTGATGAGCTTGATATATATAACATGTTGGAGGAAGATATATAAATTTGCAGGTACGAGGGAAAGCATGATTAAAGCCTCAGTACTTACAAAGGAGTCCTGGTGTAGCACTGTAGGATACACACTGGACTGCTACCTGTAAGGTCAGCAGTTCAGATTCACCAGTCACTCCTGGGAAACCCTATCCAGGGTTGCTATGAGTTGGAATGACTGGACAGCACTTAACAACTTACAAAGGAATCCCTTAGTACTTACAAAAGAATCCCAGATCTCTACCGCCTGGATGTTGTAGAGATCATGAATACGGATACAAGTACAGAGAAACATGAATATAACAGGAGCTTTGGTCCTCTTGGTCAAAGATCTTGTCTCTGATCTAAATCTAGATGAGCCCAGCTGCTACTAGATGTTACAGTGTTGTCATCACTAAAGCCCTATGAGCACTACAAGTCTGGTGTCTCACATTCCAACTCTTCAGTGCCATGAAGAAAGGCTAAGCATTTCTTACCAAAAGCAATATAAAAAAAAACAAACTCTTTTCAAAGCAGTTGTAACAGAAGGCTTCCACGGGCAGCCTCTTACCTGCTGATTCTGGTAGGCTGTGACTGTGGTGAACACAGTCTCAGGAAAATTGAATGTTTTCACACCATCCCCAATGGGGACAGGCTTGGTGGGAGAAAGGTCGCTGCTGAAGTCCTTACGAATCACGTGAACTCGAGGCTGGTATTTGTGCATAGAGTGCAGAATGATCTGAAATGAGAAGGGGAAATATTATACCAAGGTTGGGTTTAAGGTCCTTATATCTCTTCAAACTCATGTGCACAATAAATCAGAAGATAGAAGCACTATGGAAAAAGTACAGGTTGAAAATGAGAGGCACAAGAAACTTCTAGTTGTTTGCCATTAGTCCCAATTCTGACTCATGATGCCCCCATGTATACCATACTAGACTTACTCTCCATAGGCCTGCTTTCTGAGGTACCTCTGACTGCCAACTTTTTGCACACAGTAGTTGAACACGTAACTGTTGCACCACCCAGGGACCACTTATACATGTCCATGGCAGGAGGAATTAGTAACTGCATAGCACTAGAAAGAACCAGGTATCTCAATCATGGATGGTAGATATATATGTTTGCATTGATTGGATAAAAGCTAAATGGCTGTTCTGGTTATCAGTGGACAGCACTCCACTAAAAAATTCTCAGAGTCTCTTACATGTAACAAATTGTTTGCTCCAACTTCAAATTTTCAGCATGAGCTCATGCTTTCTTTAAATGCTACAGGTCATTGTTTGACACGAGTTGCATTCCTAGAAGTTCTTTTATGTTAGATGAGAATTATAGAAAAACCATAATTCATGACTTTAGCTTCTTTTCAATCTTCTGATAGCACTCAGCATAGATCCTGACATTCAAGAAAACTCAATACAAATTTTACTCCCCCAAATAAATTACTAATATTCATTATCAAATTATACCTGGAAAGACTTAAAACCTAGTCTTCTCTCATAAATTCATAAATGCCTTGACCAATCAGTCCAAACTGTCACTTCAGATGTTTCTCTAAGGTTATTGCTTTGTAAGTTATTCTACTGAATGTAGTTATCTCTTTTACTGCTGTTTAATCTGTCATGTATTTCTGTCTTGCCTCCCTGATAGGACTGTTAGTCTCTGCAGCACAGCACTTTGATACAACATTTTGTCTGATATATAGCAGATGTTTTCTAAATAGTGGACTTGCAATAAATAAAATTTGATAAGAAGAATTTTTAAAATTGTTATTCGTACTTTTAAGATTTAAAATGACATTGTCTTGTTTTACCTGCCTGAAAATCCTTGGAATAATCATCTCTAGAGTGAAAATGGAAAGAGGGAAGAAAGGAGAGAGATTGTTTGACTCACGTGTCCTTGATCATCCAATTCATTGTTGGTCAGCTTAAGTTTGTCAAAACTGACCACCTGTCTCATCCAGGTGTCTCCAGAAGCTAGAGAGTCAGGGTGGATATAAACTCTTGGGGGCACGGGGGAATCAGCATTGCCTGCCACCATCCACTTGGAGCTGTGATATACATATCTGAGATAGAGGAGAGAGAAGAATTCAGAGATAGACATAAAGGGTGAATAGAAGCCCACGAAACAAGTAGAGATAGGAGAAAGAAACAAACAAACAACAACAACAACAACAACAAAAGAGATATAAAGAATACAGAAGTAATAGGGGTGAAACACACAGCACAAAGGAGAAAAAGTGAACGGGAGATACCAAAGGAAAATTAAATACAGATGAGAATGAAGAGGTGTATTAGAGAAGGCAGAGAAGTGTTGTGGTCAAAGCCACAACTCTAATGAAGAAGACATTTTCACAGTTCCTTGTCAAGTGACCCTGTATGCATGCAGGTATCTGAACCTATGGGTCTACCAATAGTAAAGAGGTTTTACAAGACCCTTTCACCTTTCAAATGCAAACTATACAATCCCTTGGCCACTTGTTCAGGATTTGGTTCCTTATTAAACACATTTCCCATATTTTCCTGTAAAACTCAAGCCTTCCAAGCTTCTCACTTGTTAACCATTTGCTTTCTCTTCTGAATTCTGAGGAATTTCTAGAGAATGAAAGTCTTTTGCCTTAGTGCAGTCATTCCCAGAAAAACCACCAAATATTTTCCCAGTGAATGTTCTCTTTGATAAAGCTAGTTTTGAGTGTCATCATCTTCCATATTATTTTCCAACAAGGCTACTGGAAATGGATGCCTTTGGTACCAAAGGAGGACAGTGTATCAGATTTTGCCAATTGCCCTATTGTTCCAGTTATCTTTCTCCTTGGATCTGTTATTTGACTGTTTCTCAGTTCTAAAGGGCCATGTGGAACTGAACTGGCAAATAGAAACACTCAGTCAAAACTACAACTCCCAAGATCCTCTAAAACAAAACTGAAGTGCCCCTTCTCTTAAATCCTACAATCTAGCCCACCAATCGTAACCCATTCTCCCCACCAATGTATGACTCTTGGTTTTCCTCATTCATCTCTCACCTCCACATCTATGGGTTTATGGTCGAGTTCTCAGACTTTAGATCTTTCCAAAATAAGCTATGATTCACTGATTTAACTGAGATCAAAATGATCCATTAAGCCATTACTTGCTTCTGAAAAGATGAAATAAGCCATCCAAGATAAATGGAGACTTTCTGATTTTTTAATGACATTGAGAGAGTTATTTCACACTCACTTACAACCCATACAGTTATAGTTGTAAACTGCTGTCAAGTTAGTTCTAACTCACAGCAACCCTGTATAGGGTTTCTGAGAGGCAGCTGATGAGTTTTGAACCGCTGACCTTGTGGTTTAGAACTGACACTGTGGTCCACTGCTTATCCTACAGCTCCACACCATAATGGTTAACAATAATTCTCTATAATTAGTTGTGATTTTCTTGAGGTCTTACCCAATTCTATCCTTACTCTCCATCTTCCATAAAATAATCTATTAGGTACATGACTGAATGAATGTACTACACTGCCCCATCTCTTCTTTCTTTCTCCAAAATAAATCATTCCAACTCATTGACCACCCATAAACACCATAATGTAATTTATTATGCTCTTTTGAGGTTAATTGAATTAATTTCTGACTTAAGATCCACTCAACTTTTACTCTCTTGGTAAAACACCATAAAATTCTACTCTCTGAAGACATAGGAAGGATTTCAAACCAAACCATTACTAAGTCCTAATTTCCTACCTCTAGTTACTACTTCCTGCCTGATACGCCACCATCGGCCACTGGTATATCTACCATTCCTTGTTCCATATGCAATGCACTGTGAAAATGCTTCATCTAACAAAACATTTAAAGAATGCTCTTGGAATGCTGGTGATGACCACAATTCCACATTCCATAGTCATCATTACCTGTATCTTTTATTGTCCACAGGCACAATGTCCATTGCTATGTAGTACTGCTGGTGTGGATCCAAGCCAGTGATTTTCACTCTCATGGCAGGAAACATTCTCCTATGAAGGGAAGAAGGTAGCAGAAAGCTCAGCAATAAAAGAAGAGCAACGTAAGTAAAGCTTGAAGAGTCTTTTGTTAGAAACTGTAAACACACACAGTCCAATGTCTCCTAATTCGCTAAAGTTCATGGATTATCTTTTTTTACATTGACAATTATCACTATAAAATATGCTGTGGATTTAAATTGCTGAAATAGTGCTTCATTTAGCTTCAATGATTCCTACACTAATAAGGTTCATACCATACCCTACCTTGGTCTATACATTTATATACAGTTGGCATAATTACCTTCTTCATAACAACAATTACCCTAGATATATTAACTACATTATGGTCGCTGTTGTTGTTAACTGCTGTCAAGTCAGTTCCCACTCAGAACGACCCTGTATAGAGTTTCCAAGAAGTGGCTGGTGAGTTTGAACTGCCAACCTTGCCATTAGCAGTCTAGTGCTTATCCTACAATGCCACACCAGCACTCTAATTACATTATTGATGTTGTCATTGTTATGTGCCATCGAATCAGTTCCAATACATAGAAAGGGTGTAGAGGGTTTCCAAGAAGTGGCTGGTGAGCTTGAACTACTGACCTTGCAGTTCAAACCAACCTTGTAGTCCAGCACTGTAACCCACAGGGCCACATCTTTAATAAGCTATATATGTGTGTGGAGATATGTGTATGTATCCTCACATACTGTACATTGCCAACTAGACTATAATATTCTCAAATATACCATTAAGTATATTATAACTTATACTTTCCTTTTTATTCAAAAAATTTCTTATTGTAGGTAATCATGAAATATTTTAAATTGAGTAAGTCTATTTGAAAATGACTACTCTGAAAATAACCTCAAGAAAACAAGGGGTAAAAAAGAAGGTGATATCTCTTCCCAAACAAAGGGTCCCCAAAATTGGGGTTTTTATGTGTTTTTTTTAACTGCATAAAACTAAGAATTCTCAGGTTGTCAACATGTGTGTTAGAGGTAGAACCCTGTGGAATAAGGAGCAAATAACAAACGAATTCTGGTGGCCTCTGGCAATACCTTGTTACTACCACAATGGCTTGTTAAACTTGCCAAAGCAAGCAAGGTCAGGATATGGTACTTTACAACTACTCTTATAATTGAAGAATGGAGGACAGGAAACAGCCCAAAAGAGGTATTAGGTTCAAGAAGTCTAGAATAAGGTTCACCATTCTTCTGTAACCATCAGAAAGAAGAAAAACATCAAGATTTTTCTTTGCATGTCATTCATTTAGGGGCAAAACATAAAAAGTGCTCAGTGCAAAAATTTGGATTGGCCTGAATGTGCTTTTAGGGTAATTGTATACAAAATGCTACATTAAGCTTAACCATCTGGGGCCAGTTAGTTGAGCTGGGCAAAGCACAGTGCTAATGAGGTCAAGGTCACAAGTTTGATCCACATATGGCTTAATTGGCTTTGCTCCATTTCACGGTCATAGACCATACCCTGACCCCAGACAGCCATCTTGCAGATATGCACTGCTTGGTTATATGTGGGGCTCCCTGCTCTAGCCATATTCTTCACTACTTCTCCTGAAAAAAGCAATTGAAAAATCAAATCTCTTCTGGCAGTAGGTCAGTGGCATCACAACCTTATTTGAGGATGACATAAGGGTATCATAGACCTTTAATACTGTTGATGCCTACGTTTTTAAAAATCCATTAAGAACACTACATATATCCATTCCTTCATTCCCACAGAGAACTTTTCAGAAGCTCATATTGGTAAAATGTTTTAGATGTTCTCCCTTTAACCTCTGCAACTTTAATTAGAAACCCTACCATTTTAGTTTTGCTCCAGTAAATTTTAATGGTGGTTGTTGTTGTTATTTTTAAGTGCCATCAAGTCAGTTCTGACTCATAGAGACCCTGTATAAGGCTCTCAAGGAGTGGATGGTGGGTTTGAATTGCCAACCTTGTGGTTCGCAGTCTGGTGCTGCTCCTACAGCGCCACACCAGGTGGACTACTCAAAATGACTAAGTTTAACATTCACTACGATTTGGGGACTTTGAGCTAAATTAATTCTTTCCAAAAACTTGGTCTATACATTTAAGAACATATTGTGTAATTCTCTTCTTAATAGCAATGATTTATTAATGCCCTGTATATATAAATGTTTAGAGGACATTTTGCCAGAAATTGGGAGAAAGTTCTCTCACTTGCTAGCTGAGATAAAGAAATGAGATCCTATCAGTCACCTACAGAAACTGTTTTATTGAGAGATATGGGTTTCTTTCCTCAATGACCTCAAGAAAAGAAGGCATATATTGTGATTCAAGTACCTGTTTTGTGTGAAACACTTACTATATGACTTGAGAGAAGATGCTATTGTCCCGTCCTAGTACTCAAGTTCTAAAATTAATGTGTTGTGTGACTCTGGAAAAGTCACTTAACTCCATCAACTATAAAACAAGTGAATGGGACTAAATAATTGCTGAGGTCCTCCCTGCTTTAAAATTTCATGACTTTTCTTAAAAACTTACCAAAAGTTGTGGTTTTTCTTTGCCAGTATTTTAAAACAGTATACTAAGTGAAGTCACAACTCTGAAGAAAAAAAATAATTTTTTGTATTCCAAAAAACAACATGCGTGTTTGGTTTTAATAAACCAAAACCAAACCCACTGCCATCAAATTGATGTCAACTCACAGCAACCCTAAATAAGACTTCAGAGCCAGTAAATCTTTACAAGAACAAGTAGCCTTATCTTTCTCCCAAAGAGCAGCTGGTGGATTTGAACTGCCAACCTTGTTGTTAGCAGCCCAGTGGCTAACCCATAGCGCTACCAGGGTTCCTTTGGTTTTAATTGTTGTGGTTGTTAACTGCCATCAAATCGGTTCTGACACACAGCAGCTGGTGAGCTTGAACCGCTGACCTTGTGATTCAAACCAACTTTGCAGTCCAGTGCATTAACCCACAGTGCCACACTAGAGTTCCTTGGTTTTCATAGTATGGCTGAATTTACTGAGTTCTTTTGTCTTTCAAATCCATTAATCCCTCTAAACACCTCTGTCCATGGTGCTGATCATACCAATTATGTTGGTACATGAAACGTTTGAAGGTTCTATAGACTGTAGTAGTTCCAAATCAACCGAATTACATTCTGGCCTGTGGGAACTAACATATTGTGACTAAAATTCTCTGAGAAGGTTGAAGGACAGGGATTCATATTTCCCAAGTAAATGGGAGTTCTAATTTAAATTGAAAGGGTCTCTACATAAATGAAGTGAGAAAGAAGAAATCAACTGAGAGAGTGGGAAAAGGATGGAAGAAATCCACAGAAGAGAAATTCTTCTTTATGTGTTTCTGAGGTGTTCCAGAAACCTGATTAAAATTATATGCAAAAACATCAAAAAAATTATATGCAAAAACAGCAACATCTAGACGGTCCAATACAGAAGTAATGAATGTAGATTCTAAACCTAAACAAATGACCCCAAGAAGCCTAAAGAACAAACTGTATGGTGGTGTTGAATAATATCAAGATGCATTCACATATCAAAGTAAATTTGTGAAGACAAGAGAGATGGAAAATAAAATGCTGCAGAAGAAATCATGAATGGTCACCACAAGAGAATTATCAAAAATGTGCTGAAAGGAGCTGAATTTACTGAAGTGTATGTAATCTACAGAGTGAGCACTGCGATATCAGAAACAAGAGTTACTGGGATACACACTCAAGAGGTGCAAAGTAAATGGCCAAAATCAAAACTGGAAGTTCTTATAGGAAAACAAAATGTAATATTTCCTCTCACCAAATGAATCCCCTATCAAAAAATAAGAATTTTTCCATCAATCGTTGTTTACTTTCAAGCCTTAACATCTCAAAATGCATATCAGGGGTAGACTGGAGTCCAAGCAATGAAAAAGAGACAATATTGAAAATAACTCCTTCAGAGTTGCTCCTCCTAAGTAGACTTTTAATGGTTGCACTCATTATTAAAAAATTAGAGGAGAAAGAGAGGTCCAGAAGAGAAAGAAGATGACCAATTTTTCATGTTCATTTTAACCTGATGTTCTTGTGGTATTATACATTACTGGGGGGTTTCTCTATATGCATTCAAGTAAATTAGACCAAATCAAAATATTATTTTTACATTAAATATCCATCCATGTTCATGAAAGAAACTTACAAGTATTCAAGCAGATCTTTTCTAGTTCTCCATGAGACTATGTAGATTGATTTTGAAAATATTAAAGTAAAATAATGTTTTTGTTTAATTTCAACTAACAATTCCTATGTGTGGCACTGTGGGCTAATGCATCAGACTGCAAAGTTGTTTGAACTGCAAGGTCGGTGGTTCAAGCTCACCAGCTACTCCTTGGAAACCCTATACAGGGTCACTATGGGTCAGAATTGACTCGACAGCACTTAACAACAACACCAACATTCCTATGTACACAAAGGAGCTCTGGGGATGTCGTATTTATGCACTGGACTGCTAACCACAAGGTCAACAATTTGAATCTACCAGTCACTGCAGAAGAAAGGTGAGACTTTCTGTTCCTAAAAAGATTTATAACCTTGGAAACCCTATACAGGGTCATTATGAGTGAACCAATTAGATAGCACATGACCACAGTATACTCTAATGTTTAGTCTGAATCTAGTTTTATCTAAATCATTTTTATTTGTAATCCACAGGGCAAGAACTATAACTTTCTTAGTGCAGAATTATAAGTAGTTAAGACCATTGTTTTAGAATCAGGAGTGTCTAGAAGTCTGGAGCTTTCCCCATGTGGCTTTAGTCAAGTTAATTGACCTCTTTCAGCTTCTGCCCTCTCATCTATAAATAGGATGCTAATATTTTATCTCACAGGATTGCTGTGAAGCTAAAATGAAGTAACTTACGCTGAGCATCCAGCACCAAAGGATACTTACCTACGGAAAATTAAATGATACCAAAAAAAAAAGAGTTAACTGACCAGGAAGCATATATTTCAAGATAAACGGTGTTTTTAAAATTTTGTAATACTAGTTACATATTTTGCAAGAGTTTCCTCCAGATCACCATTAATGCTTTGCCATAATTTCAAGCCAACAATATAACACAAAGGATCAACAAGTAGGGCTCAAAAGATGCACCAAGACCAACTCTTACAAAATCCTTACAACAAAATGTCTGACTGCTTTAAATGCCTTAGAATATGCAAACTGTTGTTTGGGAGAGTAAACTGTAAAAAAAAAAAAACACTGGATGGTGAAGTGAAGTAAGCAATTGTTTTAGAAATGTACATTTTAGCTGTTAAGAAACCAAGAGCCTCCAGTACTAGCTAAACTGCATTTGAAAGTGAGAAACATTTGTGAGGACAGAGATGATGATTTGGGCTTAAGGAAAATAGCATAGAAAACACAACAGGATCACTTTACCAAGATGTCCAAATACAAGAAAGTGAGGGCAAGTTGTTCTGATGCTACAAATAAGTGGAAAAACACATTAACAGCTCCTGCTTTTGTTCTCTGAATTTGGCCATGGGATGTATTCTTACCTGCCTGCTTTGGTGATGATCATTTCAGTTCCAATATCATGGAACCTCTTCCAGAGGTCAGCACATTGCAGCTCCACCTGAATCTCCTCCATGGAGGACATGGTGGCAGGCACAGGGCCTGCAGCCCCAGAGGTCAGCTCACGATGTGTGTCAAAGGAGCAGGAAGTCCGCTCAGCAAGCACCTCAGAGTCTGAACCAGTGCTCTGCTCAGAATCTGCAAAAGAAACAATCAAGCCTTAGGTGACAAACTTGTGGGTACTGACACACACACAAAAAAAAAAAAACAAGTGTGTGTGGTATAGGGAGAAGGGTGAACAAAAAAGGAGGCAGGAAGCTCCAGAGCACAGGATTTTGTGGTTTCCTATTTTTTATGGTTTGTTTTTTGTGAGTGTGATTTACAACCTTTATTCAGGCTTTGTGTTTTCAACATGACACCTGGCATTTTAGTAAGTTTTAGCAACAGCTGAAGAAAACTGGTCCACAACTGGCAATGTGAAGAATATAGATGTCATGTTGAAGAGAATGTGGTCAAACTGAGTCAACAACAAAAATAAAAGCTAAATTTTTTAAATAACCATCATTACAACCCAATGCTCCAAATCTAGATTAGACAATTTCACTGGGGGCAGTGGGGCAGAGGATTCAATGCTAACAATGTTTCCTTTAATTCCATTCCACTCACCATAACTCCCCATCAGGTAGTCATTTTTAAACACAATCATTTTTCCTATACTTATATACCCTCATCATCAAAAATAATGGAAAGTTGTTTGGTATCTTCAGAAATATTTTGCCATACAGTTGAGTAAAGAGCCTTTTCTAAGCTTCTAATCAAGCCATTTTTAGATTTGGGGAAAATCTGTTGTGAGGCAAGGATGTAAGCATATGGAAAAAGTTACCAGAGCAGGCGGCTGAAACAAAGGGAATAAATGAGTTCAGGAGACACCTTGATTGGTTTCTGAAGTATGGGCAGAGGGAGGGGTGACCCAAACAGGAAGTTGGGATTGAGAACAACCAAATAAAAAGCTGGCATGCTGGGCCAGATGGTCCTTTCCTGTGTCTTCTGTGGTCCAGGAGAGAGCGGCTGGAGGGGGAGGGGATGGGCATACATAGTTGGAGAAACCAGAATCAAAGTTACCAAAGAAGAATTTTCTATAATTGTTTAAATTTACTTTTAAGGACCTAATGCCAGGAATGGAATATCCTAAGATTTTCCTAATTCAGATTAGCTAGTATAGTTTTCTTAAATCTCATGATTGTATAAGCCAAGTCTAAGAACCTATTTCTCTAACCCACATTTAACATGCAGTACTCTGATTGCTTTAAAATAAATAAGACACGTGTATAAAGAAAGGCTGGAAACTGCACAGTCTTGTTCTGACAAATGACTTTTTAAGGTTCTCAAGGGTCAGAACTCCTTGAGCATCAGTCTTTGACAAGAAAAGAATGAGATGAAAGAAGAATGTGACAATTCCAGACCATCTTACCTGCAGCAGGTCTGTGAATAACCCATTCCACAATTCCTTTGTCTATCTTTCATTCTAGCCCTGACAGGTTTCTCTATAAAATTCAGGGAGCATCTCTGGCAATAGTCTCCCACAACCTTGCCAATGCCCACAAGGAGCAAAGCGTCATTGTTCTCCATCCTCTCCAGTTCCTTCTCCTTGCTTGTGAAGGGCATTCAGATTGCTGCAGAACTGCACCAAACTCCTATATAAAGGGGAAGTTTCTAACCAAAAACTTTAGTTTATCCATAATCAATCACTAGTCCCACTCATCATACTTGTCAAAGAAAATAAATGTTTTTTATCACTAGATTTTTAATGTCTATGTATCTAATTTTATACCTTAGACTAAACAGCTCTAATATAGGAGCTATTTGTGGTCTCCTTCAAGCACTGGAAAGTGGCATTAGTTTTCTAAGGTGGAAAGTACTGTTGAAGGACACGTCTCCCTCCTAAGCTGATTCAATATGTCTTCAGGTGTAGGATAATACATCAGTGCATGCTCAGAGAACCATAGTAGCTCAGAACACTCAGACCTGGATTCCCAAATCCACTTTGTTAGCAAAGTGATCTGAAATCTCCTTACCATAAAGTGTTCCAATTATGAAAAAGTTGAAGATACACCCTGAGTAGGGACCACCAGAAATGTTGGACGTGACATATGGTTTCCCCAGTGTGTGTTTAGGAAGGGAGAGAGAAGGGAAAGATACCACTGCCCAAAGTCATAAATATTTAATGGCAGCCAAGTCGAGGTTGGAATTGGAATAGGGACTATAGCTGGAGATTTAGGAAATAACTCTCTACTATGAGCTCATGGAGCTCTGGTAGCATAGTTGGTTACATGGTGAGCTGCTAACCGAAAGGTCAACAGTTAAAATCTACCGATAATTCCATGGGAGAAAGATGAAGGTTTTCTGCTCCTATAAAGATTTACAGTTTCAGAAACTTTATACAGGGTTTCTCTGAGTTGGGACCGACTCTATAGCACACAACCACCACCACTATGAGCTCACTATGTTCTGTGAAATAAAATGGGTACTCAAAATGTAACTGTTAATTGGATATATGAATAACCTTAGACAAGTCACTGTCTACATGGACCCATTTTCTCACCATGCAATTGCAGGGTTGAAACTCAGTATCTTTTTCATCTCTAATTACAAAGTATGTAAGAATCCTCTCTGATTCAAGTCTCAGGTCTCAGTAATAACCCCAAATCAAACCCAAACCCTTTGTCATCAAATCAATTCTGACTCACAGTGATTCCATAGAGCAAAGTAAAACTGCCCTAAAGGATTTCCAAGGCTGTAAATCTTTACAAAAATAGACTGCCATATCATTCTACCACAGAGCAGCTGGTGGGTTTGAATCATTGACCTTTTGACTAACAGAAAAGCACTTTAACCACTGAGTGACTAGGGCTCCTTAGATAGCTCAGGCAACCTCAATTAAAAGCACCAAATTTACAACTGTTTGGGTAATACAAGCTAAAGGAGGAAAGAGAAAGACTGAGGACCCAGATTCATATTATCATAGAAGTTAAAGAATTGAGTATGTGTTCTAAATGGTTTTGCAGTTTAAATCAAATCAATCAAAAAACACCTACCAACATGTGGCCCTATATGAGGTTCCAGGTAGATGATTGGAAACAGAAGTTTCCCAGTTAGTATTGCTTAATTATGTGGTTTTTGAGTGCTTACTATGTGCCCAGCATTGTGTTGTTCTTAGATACCCTCCAGTCAGTTCCCACTCATAGGGATATGCAAAATAGAACAGAACAGAACACTGCCTCCAGGTCCTGACACATCTTCACAATTGTGTTTGAGGCCACTGTTACTGCCACTGTGTCAATCCATCTCATTGGGGGTCTTCCTCTAGTATTGTGCTGCTGTTTCTGTGGTTGATAATTGTCTTATGCATTGGTTCCCCCTCATAGCAACCCTGTATAGAGTTTCCAAGGAGTGGCTAGTGAATTTGAATAAGTGACCTTGAGGTTCAAACCAACCTTGTGGTCCAGTATCTTTTCAGAATCTAGTATGCACACACTAACCTTGTGCTAAATTCTGAATACGAGTGGAGAACCTGTAGTACAAGTGGAGATTGGGAGCATTCAGAAATAATCAGAGCATACTGGGTTGTGAGTTGAACTGCTAACCGCAAGATCATTAGTTCAAATCTTCCTTCCACTCTACCAAGAAAAATATGAGTTTTTCTGCTCTCATAAAGATTTACTACCTCAGAAATTCTATATAGGGTTGCCATGAGTCAGAACGGACTCCACAACACACAACCACCACCACCACCAATACAAATACTACCACACAGTTTTCTACACCTTTACATATTGCCTTGTTGTCTCGTAAGATCTCAGAAAAAAAGGGGATTCTAAGCGGTTCAATCTTACCAGCTGCTGTTTGGAAGCCCTGTACAGGGTCTCTATGAGATAGAACCAACTCAAAGGCACTTAATAACAATAACAACTAAGAGGACCAGTCCTGGGAACCCATGGTTAGTAGAAAGTCTACTTTGATTAGCAGGACAAGAAAGTCATGAAAGCATCGGTGGTCTCTGCCTATTGGAAGAGAATTTTCTGAGACAGCTATTTGTTTCCCTAGAAACACTCTCAGCTTTTTGACTTTCAATCTCTCACAAAATATAGCCCAGTGTCCTTTATGTACCGAATGAAGGCACCCGCCCACATTTTCCAAAACCATGACTATGCTACGTAATTTTCCATTCTCAATTGTTTTTAAAAACAAAGCCCGTTGTTATCAAGTCGATTCTAACTCATAAAATGACTTCATAAGACAGAGCAGAAATGCACCATAGAGTTTCCCAAACTGAAAATATTTACAGAAGCAAAACTGCCACATTTTTTGCCTGGGGAACAGCTAGTGTGTTCAAACTGCTCCCATTATTTCTTAGGATAATGGGGAACTAAAATTAACAGTATATCTTATATGGTTCTTTTAAACTTCCAGAGGCGTTCAATCCACCTGAACGGTAAACTACAGTTTGTTGCTGTTAAATGCCATCAAGTCATTTCTGACTCACAGAGAACAATCCTGTATAAGGTTTCTGAGGAGTGGCTAGTGGGTTTAAATCACAGACCTTGCAATTAGCAATCCATTGCTTATCCTACAGCGCCACACCAAGACTCCCTTAAAATAATCTCCAAGTCAAGATCAACAGCATAGATAAAAATAAATTTTTGAAATGCATTTCTAAATCACAGTTATATGATAAATTAAGTATAACCAGACCCATACTTTCAGTTTGAACAATAAACTATTAATCAGAATGTAAGGAGTTCTGGTAGCATAGTGGTTACGAGTTGGGCTGCTAACCTCAAGGTCAGCAGTTTGAAACTACCAGCAGTTCCATGGGAGAAAGATGAGGCTTTCTGCTCCTGTAAAGATTTATAGCCTCGGAAACCCTATACAGGATTGTTATGAGTCGGAACCAACTCCATGGCATACAACAACATAAGCAAGTTACCTAAGTCAAGAAGATAAGAAATACATAGCCAGTTATCTCAATTACATCAGGTAATCCTTTCAGAAATATAATCATTCTCTTGTAGATTAGAAAACACTCCTCTATTTTCATATTCTTTTATTCTTGGCAATTTGTGGCTTCTCGCCTTCAAAAAATAACCATTAGCAGTTCATTTGTACTACACAGAGTACCTCCTTGCCTATCAGATGCC